TATTTCAAGAAAAAAGATTTAAAATATAATATTACCAAAACTGTACTAACGTAGTATAATATCACAAAAGTTGTGGGAAATATTAAAAATCTGCAAATAGCCATGACTGGTTTGGCTCAGTGGATGGAGCGTCGGCCTGCGGACTAGGGGGTCCCAGGTTCGATTCTGGTCAGGGACATGTGCCTTGGTTGCGGGCACATCCCCAGCGGAGGGCATGCAGGAGGCAGCTGATCGATGTTTCTCTCTCATTGATGTTTCTGGCTCTCTATGCCTCTCCCTTCTTCTCTGTAAAATATCAATAAAATATATATTTTTTAAAAATCTGCAAATAACAGGTTTATTTCTATTCTAAATTTTTTTCCTATGGCTCTATTTTTGTTCATCAGTTTATGTTGTTCATTATATTCCACAAATGAGTGAGATCATGTGGTATTTTTCTTTCTCTGACTGGCTTATTCCACTTAGCATAATGCTCTCCAGGTCCATCCATGCTGTTGCAAATGGTAAGAATTCCTTGTTTTTTTACAGCAGCATAGTATTCCATTGTGTAGATGTACCACAGTTTTCTTTTTTTAAAAAATATATTTCGGAGAACCAAGATGGCGGCGTAGGGAGAGAGATAGAGAGTTTGAAACATCGATCAGCTGCCTCCTGCAAACCCCCCACTGGGGGATGTGCCCGCAACTCTAGGTACATGCCCTTGACCGGAATCGAACCCGGGACCCTTGAGTCCGCAGGCCGACGCTCTATCCACTGAGCAAAACCGGTTTTGGCAACCACAGTTTTCTAATCCATTCATCTGCTGATGGGCACTTAGGCTGTTTCCAACATCTTAGCTATGGTAAATTGTGCTGCTATGAACATAGGGGTGCATATATCCTTTCTGATTGGTGTTTCTGATTTCTTGGGATATATTCCTAGAAGTGGGATCACTGGGTCAAATGGGAGTTCCATTTTTAGTTTTTTGAGGAAACTCCATACTGTTTTCCACAGTGGCTGCGCCAGTCTGTATTCCCACCAGCAGTGCAAGAGGGTTCCTTTTTCTCCACATCCTCGCCAGCACTTGTTGTTTGTTGATTTGTTGATGATAGCCATTCTGATAGGTGTAACATGGTCCCTCATTGTTTTGATTGCATCTCTCGGATGATTAGTGACTTTGAGCATCTTTTCATATCTCTTGGCCTTCTGTATGTCCTCTTTTTAAAAGTGTCTATTTAGGTCCTTTGAGTACAGCCCTGGCTGGTGTAGCTTAGTTGGTTGAGCATCACCCCATGCACCAAGAGGTTGCTGGTTCAATTCCACGTCAGGGCTCATGCCCAGGTTGCAAGTGTGATCCCCACTGGGGGGCATACAGGAGGCAGATGATCGATGTTTCTTCTCTGTCTCCCGTCCTCTCTCTCTAAAATCAATAAAAAAAATTTTTAAATCCTCACCTGAGGATATTTTTCCATTGATTTTTCAGTGAGAGTGGAAGAGGGAAAGACAGAGAGATATATCAATGTGAGAGAAACACATCAATTGGTTGCCTCCTGCATGGGCCCGGGCCGGGGAGGAGCCTGCAACCGAGGTACGTGCCCTTGACTGGAATCGAACCCAGGACCGTTCGGTCTGCAGGCTAACGCTCTATCCACTGAGCCAAACAGGCTAGGGCAAAAAAATATTTGAAATAATTTTCTGAGTACAAATCTTTTATCTCATTGATTAAATATATTCCTAGGTATCCTATTTTATTTTTTTGAAGCTATTGTGAATATATTGTCTTCTTAGTTTCCCTTTCTGATAATTCATTATTGGTGTATAAAAATGCAACCAATTTCTGGATATTTATTTTGTATCCTGCTACTTTACTGAATTTATTTATCAGTTCTAGTAGTTTTTGGTGGAAACTTTAGGATTCGCTATATACAGTATCATTGTCATTTGCAAATAATGAGTTTTCCTTCTTCCTTTCCAATTTGGATGCCTTTCATTTCTTCTTCTTTCTGATAGCTGTGGACTTTCAGTTCTCTGTTGATAAGAGTGGTGAAAGTGAAAATCTCTGTCTTGTTCTGATCTTCCGGGAAATGCTTTTAGTTTTCCCCATTGAGTATGATAACTGTAGGATTGTAATATATGGCCTTTATTATGTTGAGATGCATTCCCGCTGTTCCCACTTTGCTGAGCGTTTTTATCTTAATGGGTGCTGGATTTTATCAAATGCTTTTTCTGCACCAATTAATATGATCTAATAATAGGATTTTTGTCACTCATTCGTTTACGTGATGTGTAATGTTAATTGATTTGGGGGGTATTGTACCAAACTTGCACCCCAGGAAAAAAATGCATCTGATCATAGTGTATGATCCTTTTTAACGCATTGCTAGATTCAGTATACTCCATATTTTGTTGAGGATTTTAACATCTATGTTTACCAGGTAGGGCCAAGTGGTGTTCACCAGATTGATACAGATTCAAACTCTGTGCCAGTACTGGGTCTGAGACCACTCAGCAAAAGACCCGGGGTACACTAAGGCCAGCAACTACTCACCAGGTACACGCAGACCTTTTTGATGGGACAGGGTCTCAGGGAGTCAGCTAGGTGAAGCCAGCAGAGTTCATCAGACCCCAACAGACCAAAATTTGGCCATGTGAAGGTAGGGCTCTGCAGAGACATGGTGGTTTCAGTCAGGCATGTGAGGGGAAAGATGGCCCTTGTTCTAGAGCAGTGGTTCTCAACCTTCTGGCCCTTTAAATACAGTTCCTCATGTTGTGACCCAACCACAAAATTATTTTTGTTGCTACTTCATAACTGTAATGTTGCTACTGTTATGAATCATCATGTAAATATCTGATATGCAGGATGGTCTTAGGCGACCCCTGTGAAAGGGTCATTCGACTGCCAAAGGGGTCGCGACCCACAGGTTGAGAACCGCTGCCCTAGAGCCACACAACTTTCTCTCCTAGATTCTGCCTGGACCTACTCAAAAGCCTGAGCTCAGCAGGCAGGGACACCAGGAATCAGGAGGGTGGGGCTAGTGGATCTCCTATGGTGAGGGGGCAGGATGCAGGGCAGATTCATGTGAAATGGGGGAATGGCCCGTGCCCCAGAGCCACACAAATCAGTCTCTCCTGGATTCTGCCCGGACCACCCTACCTGGTAAAAGAAATAGACTTACAAGTCCAGGAAGTGCAGAGGGTCCCAAACAAGAGGAACCCAAAGAGGCCAACACCAAAACACATCATAATTAAAATGCCAAGGGTTAAACACAAAGAGAGAATCTTAAAAGCAATAAGAGAAAAGCAGTTAGTACCCTACAAGGGAACACCCATATGACTATCAGCTGATTTCTCACCAGAAACTTTGCAGGCCAGAAGGGAGTGGCAAGAAATATTCTAAGTGATGAATAGCAAGGAACTACAACCAAGATTACTCTACCCAGCAAAGGTATCATTTAGAATTGAAGGTCAGATAAAGAGCTTCTCTGACAAGAAAAAGCTAAAGGAGTTCATCACTACCAAACCAGTATTACATGAAATGTTGAAGGGTATTCTTTAAGAAGAGGAAGAAGAAAAAGATAAAAAAATATGAATAATAAAATAGCAATGAATATCTAGCTATTGACAACTGAATCTAAAAATAAAAATAAACAAACAAGGAATCTAATGAACAAAATAAACTGATGAATAAAATAGAACCAGAGGCATGGAAACATGGAACAGGCTGACAAATCTCAGAGGGAAGCAGGGGGTGGGTAGGAAGAGATTAACCAAAAAACATATGCATATATGCATTACCTATGGACACAAAGAATAGGGAGAGGTGGGGCAGGAACCAGGTGGAGGGGGGTAATGGGGAGGAAAAAGGACATCTGTAATGTTCTCAACAATAAAGATTAAAAACAAAAACAAAACCAACATATTGAAAATGGTATAATACTCTTTATTAGACTGCAGACTGTACCCAGTTTCACATGATACAATGGTACAGATTGCAGAACTTATTCAGATTTTACATGCATTCATTTGTGGGTGTGTGTAGTTTTAGCACATATTTGAATTCATTTAATCAACACCACAATCATGACATAGAATTGTTCCATCACCACAAAGGAACTGCTTGTGTTATCCCTTAATAGTCACACATATCCCATACCCCTCCAGTCCCTATTCCTGGTCACCATTAATCTGTTCTTTGTTTCTATAATTTTGTCATTTCAAAATGTTATATAAATCAATCATACCTATGTGACCTTTTGAGACTTTTTTAATTCATCATGATACCCTTGAGGTCCATTCAAGTTGTGTGTGTCAATAGTCTATTCCTTTACATCGAATAGTAGTATTCCATAGTATGGATGGTTGGTTTAACCACTCAATTGGAGGACATCTGGGTTGCTTCCAGTTTTGAGCTATTACAAAGAAAGATGCTAAGAAGATCTGTGTATAAGTTTTCTTGCCAACATAGTTTTTCATATCTCTGTAATAAACGTACATGAGTTCAACTGCTGGGTCATATGGTACATGTATGTTTAACTTTATTAAAATTTCATTTTTCATTTCTATCAGCCATGGATGAGAAATCCAGTTTATATGTTCAACAGCATGATATTTTCAATATCTTTTCTTTTAACCATTCTGATAAATGTGTAGAAATACATCATTGTGATTTTAATTTGCATTCTCTGATGACTAATTAAGTTCAACATCTTTCCATGTGCTTACTTGCTATCCATTTATCCTCTTTAGTGAAATTCATTTAGCCTATTCACATCTTTTGCAATTGGATTGTTTCTTTTTACTGTTATATGTTCTAGATTGATCAGATATATGGTTTGCAAATAAGTCTCAATTTCTTCCTCTTAAATTTTTTCTGAAGCAAAAGTTTTTCATTTTGATGAAGTCCAATATATCAATTTCTCCTTTTAGGATTGTGCTTTGAGGGTGGAGGCTGAGAACTTGTTGCCTAGTCCAAGATCCTGAAGATTTTTCCATGATTTTATTTCTAAATTTTTTACATATAAGTTTAAGGTTTGCATTTTATGTCAAAGTTCATTTTTTGCCTTTGGGTGTCCAATTACTCCAGCATCATTTGTTAAAAAGAACATCCTTCCTTTACTGAATTGCTTTCATAACTTTGTCAAAATCCGTTGGGCATATACCTTACCATCTGATTACTCTTGCTTTATAGTAAGTCTTCAATCAAGTAATGTGAGTCTTCCAACTTTTTCTTCAAAATTGATTTAGCTTAATTAATTTTACACTTGGATATTTTCATTTTTTCCTATAGGGAGACAAAAAGAGAGAGAAGAACTGTGGCTGTGAGAAACTAGGGAAAATATAGCGTTTATACTGCATATGCCCTAGTGTAGTGGTTTTCAAACTTCAGCATGCCTTAGAATCAGCTGGGGAGTTCATGACAATTTCTGGGCCCCACCCCTAGAAATGAAGTTTGACCTCCAAGTAATTCTGGTGCAGGTGGTTGTGGACTATACTTTGAAACATGAAAAACAATAACCTAAGAAGAAATAAACAAAAACAAAAAACAACACTTTGTTGTTGTTGGGATTAGGGCTCTTTTTGTTTACTTTCTTTCTACCTCCTCCAATTCCCCCTTTTATTTCCAGTATGCAATAGGCTTGGCTCTTTTCTGAAGACCACATTTGTGGTTACATAAGAATAATGTAACAGAACATTTTTAAAAAATATATTTTATTGATTTCAGAGAGGAAGGGAGAGGGAGAGACAGAAACATCAATGATGAGAGAGAATCATTGATCAGCTGCCTCCTGCACACTCCACACTGGGGATGGAGCCCTCGACCCAGGCATGTGCCCTTGACCAGAATCGAACCCAGGACCCTTCAGTCCACAGGCTGATGCTGTACCCACTGAGCCAAACAGGTTAGGGCACAACAGAACATTTTAAAGTATCGTTTTTGTTATCTCCTAAATCCTAAATATTTCTGGAAAAACACATTTATACTATAACTAGAGGCCCAGTGCAATTCATGCACCAGTGGGATCCCTTGGCTTGGCCTGCGTCCTCTTGCAATGCAGTACCGTTCAGGAGATGTTGGAGAGCCGGTTTTGACCTGATCCCCGCAGGCCAGGCCAAGGAACCCCACTGGTGCATGAATTTGTGCACCGGGCCTCTAGTCTATAATAATAAAAGCGTAATATGCATATCGACCGAACAACTGAACAGCAGAACGACTGTCAGGACGAACTTCTGGACGACCACGCTATGACATGCATTGGCGCCAGGCCAGCCAAGGTGAATGCAAAGCAATTAGTCGGGGGGGCCCACCATTGCCCCATGATTGCCCTGCAGAGGGAGGACCAGGCCACCTTCTGTGGGGCGATCGATAGGGGGGCTCCACGATCGATCTCCCCAAAGAGGGAGGCCCAGGCCACCGCCTGGCGGGGAGATCAATTGGGGAGGGGGGGCCCTGCGATTGCCCCAAAGGGCCTCCCTTTGCTGGGCGATTGATCTGGGGGCCCTGCAATGGATCACCCCAAAGAAGGAGGCCCAGGCTACCTGGCCCTCTGTGCAGAGATGGATCGCAGAGCCCCGGCCAGGTGGGCGGGGCCTCCCTCTGCTGGGCAGTCAATCTGGGGACCCTGTGATCGATCGCCAGATTCATCAGTCTGTTCCATGTTCCCATGCCTGCGGTTTCTGCTCCTGCGTTGAGCGTCTGCCCCCTGATGGTCAGTGCATGTCATAGCTACCAGCCAGTTGGCCAGTCGCTTAGGCTTTTATATATAGATAGATGGAAATTCCTAGGTAAATAGAATCTGCTTGATACAATTTTACTTCAAATATGCTAAAACTCATCTATTGGGTTAGAAAGACACCAATGTAGATTCCACTTTGATAGGTATCTCAGAATACATATTTCAATTAAATCCTGCACTAAGAAAAAAAAAAGAATACATATTTCAGAGATCAAGAAGGAAGACATAATCCTTGTGTACTTGTTTACTTGTGCAACATCATAACTACAAAACTGAAACATTAAATACTATTCTTCCTTCAACTTGTTCTAGGGAGTGAGTGTATCTGAAAATGAAAATAAATATTTCCAAGTTAAACAAGGAGAAAATAAGCATTTAAAATATATCCCTCAGACATGTTAATACAGGTTGTCCTTGCCAATACACCTGCTACAGCCTTTTTTTAAAAAAATATATTTTATTGATTTTTTACAGAGAAGAAGGGAGAGGGATAGAGAGCCAGAAACATCAATGAGAGAGATCGATCAGCTGCCTCCTGCACGCCCCCCAGTGGGGATGTGCCCGCAACCAAGGTACATGCCCTTGACCGGAATCGAACCTGGGACCCCTGAGTCCGCAGGCCGACGCTCTATCCACTGAGCCAAACCGGTTCAGTTGGCTGTGACATTATTATTATCTAAAATCTTCTTTCTTGAAGTAAAAAAAAAGTTCTCATTTGAAAAAAAAACAAAACAAAACA